TATTTCTTTCCAGTGCTTGAAAAAACAAAGACAAGTGACATCTAAACATAATAAACGTGCCACCATTCAATCTCTCTATAAAGACTTAATAAACCCGTAATAACTAAAGCCAGGTGAGCAATTCAATGCTAATTGTTTCTAATTATCTGCTTCTTCTAAAAACAAAAACAAAATGAAATTTTAATGTTTCTTTATCAACTATGAATACTTTTGATTTGCAACTCATGGAATAGTCATTTCTACTTTTGCTGGTATCTGCATTAAAACTGATCAGCTAATTTAAAAACAAAATCCTATGCATTTCCCATCTAGATCAATTATAGACCCTCAGCTTACATAGTTCCAATGTAAGCTTTGATAAAAATTCAACTAAAGAAAATTTCAATTAATATATTCTAATATGAAAAGACCCCAGAAGCACAGAAACTGCAGAGCAGGTCTTGGTTTTTTGTTTTGTTTTTTTTTTTTTTCTTAATACATTGTTATCTTATCTGTTCATCATATCCCACATATACATAGGCTTTTGTCTTTGAGAAAATAAGCAATTTATTGGTGAGGAAAAAGCCAGAATTTTCCCTTAGGCTTTATAAATATTTTTTTTTTAATCTATCTTCTCCTAATGCTTATTTTTATAACAATTTGAGGTCAAACCAGAAAAAGAAAGTGCCAACCACTGAAGTAAACCCACTGCCCATCCCAATCTGCCTGGTGTTGCGCCTGCTCCTCCCAAAGTACTGTCAACACAGACTGAGTGTCAGAGCAGAACCATTTTCCATTCCCAAACTTTAAGCAAAACTAAACCCCAAGATCCCAGTTCAAGAAAGCTGTAATTCCTGGCTGCTGACATTGCACCTTACAGTGCTGTCACTGCAGAGCAAGGCTGTCTCCTCTATCCTCCCTCTCTCTCACTTGCTGCTGAAGTTAGTCCTGCTGAACCTCAAGTCTGCCTCCACCCCTGCAGGAGGGCATTCTCCAATTCCCCTCCTTCCCAGAGGACTTTTGCAGTTTTCTGCAGTTCTTCCCCAAACAGCAGAGAAGGATTTGCCTTTAACAAGCCACACAGGTAAAGGGATTAAGTGATAAAGAATAATTAAATTGACAGCCTAATTTAACACTTTACATTTTGCGTGCTTTCACTGTGTGCGCTTTGAGTTCTTAATAAAAGGTTTAATACACTTTTCATGGCACTTAATACTGTGGAACTAAGCAGCTTTATAACTAAAGGTCTGGGACTTGCCCAACTGCTTAATATCCAAGCTGGCACTGTAGGATGCTTCTTTTCCAACCTCATGGTTTCACATGGCAAAATACCCACACCCTGCCAGGAGCTTTGTTCTAGGACCAAGCAAGCTGTTAACCTGCTCCATGTTCTGATACTGGCTCTCCCTAATTTTTGAGACCTTTCTATCACTGCCTTCCACTACCATTTTCTGGCTGTGACATTTAAGCCCTTAGAGGTGTATCTCAACATCCAAATCCCACCAAGCAGGGCATGGGGAGTCTTCACCTTCAGTGCTTCCATGGACTGTCGCTAGACACTTCCTCACTTCACTCCAGACACTCCCTCTTGCTGTCCACAGGCAGGTGGTCTCTCCTCCTGAAACCCTGGCAGTTTTTCAGGTGTTGTCTCAGAATAACTGAAATTATTGCCCACACCAGCCTTCAGAGCAGCCCAGGGATGATCAGCACCTGCACTGAGCTGTCAAGAGCCACAAGTGACATGTCTGTGGATTAATGCCCTGGCCTGTCAGGGTAGCAAGTGTTTGCTGCGTGCAAATGATGAGACATTCTACTTTCCAAAAATCAGGACTTGCTTTAGAATAGACCTCTGCAGTGCCCAGAGCAGCAATATTTTTCTGTCACTGAATGTAAACAATCTACAGTCTGGAGTAAAATATGGTATACTAAGCCACTGAATTCATAGAGCTTCATATTCCTCCATGGCAGATGTTACAAATATGCAGACAGTCCTTATTGATCCAAATGGTTTGCAGAAACTCCATTTGAAAGCATATGTTTCTCTGCTTGACATTTTGACATGAATGACAAGACAAAGCTAGGAATGCAAATGCACGAGAAGAAACTGTTCTTGTGTTGTAAAAGCACATTGCCCCTGTCAAAGAGCTGGGTAAATGTTGCACAACTAATCACAGCCCAGAAAGATGTGTGAGCCGACCCACAGACACAGAACAGGAGGAGAAATCAAACAGAAAGGACTTGAAACAGCCACTCATGGCCCCATGCGATCTGCACAGCCCAAGACAATCACTATTTCTTCTCTCCATGTGCCAGGACCAGTCTGACTCAAGTTTTCCCATTTAGCATCATGTGAATTTTAGGAAACCTTTATGTAAATAACGACAGCACCATCGAACAACCTCCATGTTCCACAGTCCATAGCCTGGGGTGCATTCATACTCCAATACAGCATTTTGTCCATTTCCAGGCCTCATCGATGGGTATTTCCCACCTCACCTCCATCATCAGCACTTCTCTCTGGAAACCTGCAGCCTCCCAGTTGCTCCCCCTGCTCTCCAGGGTTGCCTCAAATTCCCTTTCCCCAGCAGCTCCCCGTGCCAGTGCTGCTGTGCGGTTCCCCTGCCCTCCTCTGCCCCCACAGCAGCAGGCAGGAGCTCCCCAGGAAACTTGCAACACACACTGCCAAATACCACCTCACTCCACACTCACTTTGCCACCGTCTCAGGGTCCCCACAGGGTGTGTGCTGAGCTGTGGGCTCTACTGCCACATTAGTGTTTGCTATACTGCAAGTTGAAAGCTTTCATGACCAAAGCACCCTCGCAAAAACTGTTTCTCACCATCGTTCAAACTGCCTTTAGAATCAAGCAAAACTTGGCATTATATTTTCCTGACCAGTTCTTAAATGGCAGCTGAAATGCAGGAACTACTAAATTTCAACAGCTTGTAAATGCTATACCTGCCTACACCTGGCACTTCTCATGAGTTTCTTCTGTCATGTTATCTGCCCAGCAGCAGCAACAAAGCCAACACTGGAAAGCAGCATCCTTATAGAGAGGGAAAACCACAGCACACATGGACACATTGCACTGTCACCCAGAGCAGGACACTCCTGTCCCTTCTTTTCAGGGCAATGGGCAGCAACCAGGACCCAGCTCACTCCTCTAAAATCCTTACTAATGTCCCCAGATGAAAAAGGGTCTGCAACTACAAATGATTTTTCACCTACAGTCATCCCAGACTTATTTATGGGCGAGGACACTCTGTCTCAGGATGAAGCAGTAGCTCCCAAAACTAATTTCATGCCCACTTCCCTGTGTGGCTGCTGATGGCTGTGGGACACTACACCACAAGTCGGCACAGAACAGCGCTACTACATGCTCAAGTTCTTTAAATCTTTAACCTAGAAGTATACTAATTTCAGCAGCCTAAAATGATGCTTTCTCTACATAAGACAGGGAAACCTTTCAGTGTCTGCTTAGATTTGCATTTCAGCATTTTGGTGGGCTGGAATATTTTGCTTCCGGCAAGTATTCAACTTGACAGGATTGATCCAATATAAATCACATAAAAAAAACACAAACAAAAATCAAATCTTTTTCTGCTGATACATAGAAAAAGCTACATAAATCTGGGATCTCTGTTCTTTGCAGTTCATTGTCATGGTTGCACAGTCTTTTGTTCTTTGAGCTGCACTTCTCACCTGCAGTGCTGGGCTCTACTTAACCACTTTGAAAATAATTTCATCAGAAAATAAATACATACTTTTTACAAGAGAGAAAGAAAATAAGAAAAATATTTAAGTATAGAAATATCTCCAAGATATTAATCACTGACTTTCAGAAGGAGACTCTAAAAGCAGCCGTTGTAAAATCTCAGGTTCCACATCCCCTCTCATACAGCTTCAGTTATGACATTATAACAAAATAATTAATAATAATAATAATAAAAAAACCTCTTGAAAGCAACTGGGGGCATTTTGAACCATGGTCTGTAGTTTCCACCTCAAAATGTTTCAGATGATACCTACAATACACTCAGATTTAGCATATGATTCAGAAATCAGATTCTGTCCCATCCAAGCACTCAAAATTTTGGCAAGATGTGGAGAGATTTTGTTTTTTCTTTTTTGTTCAAGTTTTGTCCTTAGCCTGCTGATTTCCATGTCTGTATCTATGATTGTGAGCACTTATCCCCCTTCCCACGTGATAGAGACCAAAACAGACAGAAACCTTGACACCCTCAAAACTACAGAGCTTTAGAACTCCAACAACAGAACTAGTTACTGAAAGATGAGTCATCTTCCAAAGAGCTATGAAAGAAAAAAAGGAATTAAAAAAAGGCAAAACAACTCTCCCACGGTGCTGCTCCCTTACAACACAATGTGAAATTACAACCAGCATTAATTGATTTCTAAGCAAGCTATCTAATATCAGTTTAAATGGGGATAAAAGAAAGTCAGTCAAGTAGTACCCTGTAAGTGAACAGTTAAAAATAAAACTTTAAAAAACTCCTCTAATAAGGCTGCCAGTAAATTTAGGAGAAAATAAAACTCAGTAAAATCTGAAACCATACACATTATTTGCTTCTGTTATTGGTTACCTTGCAAGCCTGAAGAAGCCACATTTCTGTTCTGCTTCCCCCCAGTATGAACAGTAGCAAAACAGCATCCTCGTCCAGGAATTCAAAGACAGGTGTAGCTGATACTACTAAGCCAGGACTCTGACCCAAACCCACAGAAGTGAGAGGTTTGTGGGTAGCTGATTGAGGCTGATTTTTCCCAGCTGCAGACCTGAACAGCCCCTGAGAGTATCTCCCAGCAAGCAGCCCACAGATGGTTTGGGTGCAAATCACTGATTGAAGCTGATTTTCCCCAGCTGAGTCACAATCAAGCCAAAAAACGGGCATCACCAAAGAAATAATTCCAGTTCTTAAATAATATAACAACTGTTTCTGGTAGAACAAATGCTGTTTTTATTTGTTTCCTAAAAATTAAGGAAAAATAATAATTAACTGAGGCAACTGCTTGTATGATGGAATTGAGGCTTCTCATACAAGTAATACAGCTTTGCTAAACATGAGTGGTACTCACCCTTTTCTCCCTCCCCCTTCACCAAGTTTGTTTTTACCTTTAATTTTGCTTCTCTTCTGAGTTTTCTTCTGCCTTTCTCCTTGTCTTTCCCAGGGTTGCCAAAGGATGTGGATTCTTTGAGAAATTTCCAACGGGGTCCCCCAAATGTGTTGTGTTTAGATTTATGTCATTCTTTAGCTGCTCACAACGTAAGTTCAAGTCAGTAAAGCAAAATAAAATAAAACAACAAGGTCTGAGCACTGTAGTTGCTGTGCTGCCCCACTAACATGATTTTCTCTCAGTGGTCCACTTGTCACCAACTCAACAGCTTAAGCCTGTCTTAAAGGAGAGCCATACCTAAATTCGAACCGATTTGAAGAAGAAATTTTTTCTCTAAGCAATTTTAGCATACAGTTTAAGCTCTAATCCATGTTACATGCTCAAAATTATAGTAAATGTTCCTCTTTCTGGTTCATTTTTGAGACTCTCAGAACTTTTTCCTTTTCAGAGCTCTCGCTGAATACAAGTTTATGGAAAGCAGTGCTCTCAAGATCAATATTAAGAGACAAACCCTCACCTGCTGAAACTCAGTAAGGTTGACCCACTCAATGGAGGGATACTGATTTACACAGGTGAGAACCCAGGTTTAAGTGTTTTATTCTATCAGCAGACTGAGAAAAAGTGAGTTGTTTCACTGAGGCTTCCTCTACAGTGCAGCAATGGTTATCAAAGCAAGGCAGATACTGGGAATTTTACTTTGCAAGACAAGTATTGCACACATGTAGTTGTAACTCAGCATAAAAATGTTCTATTGAGTTTCAACTCTGAAATTAGAAAGCACAATTACTCTTTTTTTCCATTGCAATAGGAAAACATGACACACTAAGAAGTAAGAGCAACGCATTCCTCGGATTGAAAGCAGATTGCCCGTGGATTGCAAGCAAATAGAAGAAACTGAGTCACATTTTTGTAAGAAAATAAAGTAATTTCTAAACTAATGGATTGATAGAACAAGACACACTACAAGTGCTGTGCCACAGATGTCAGTTTTGTGAAAGTTCATCATCAAAAGAGCACAATAAAAGGAAGGTACATTTCATGTACAATCACCTTTGCAATGTAAACATCCCGGAGGAGCTAGAATAGTTGAGATCATACATTATTCCCTTTTTTAAGTGTAGTCAGGAGAAGTTCCATTTGAAAATCAAGGGCACAGTTTGGTCTTCAAAGTTTTCAGAAGTTTCTGCAGTTTTTCTATTTCAACTTGCCAGATATTAAAAGTTGAAGGGTCAAATCTGCAGGTGGTGTAAATAAGCACAGCTCTGTGAGAGCTTTCACTTATGCTCATTTACATCACATGGAAATTATGTTTCTCACTTCTTCTGTGAGTAACTGCACATATATATATATATATGCATGTGTGTGGTGAATACATATTATATAGAAAGTGAATGCTTTGATCTCTCAAAAGGAAGATACAAACATAAAACAGGAGACAGGGTATGAAAAACATACATTCTGCATTTACTTTGAAAACTGAAAGTTGCGGGGAAAGAAACATTGTTTACGTTCAAGGAGAACCTGGTGATTTGCTTAAATAATCTAAACCCAAACCACTATCACATGAAGGATTTAACAGCTCCCTGTCAAGGCTGACAGGATTTGCTATCTTTTATATAAACAAATAACTAGACAGTGACAGATCCATCTCAGATCCCTGCTTTTACAGTATAGACCCTGGTGCAGCAAAGCACTCAAGACAGTTAACTTAAAGCAAATGAATAGTCCCAGTGAGGTTGGCAAGCTCACTCACCTGCTTAAAATTAGGCACACATTTATTTCGAGATGTGCATTTTAGTTCCATCATTAATCAGTGAAGCACTTCAACCTGTGCATAAAGCAGCTGCTTTCTGGAGGGCTTACACACATGCTTCAATACTTTACTGAAAGAGGGCTGTGTGGTTTGATTCTTTCAAGATCCTGATCATCTTAGATGTAAAGCTACAGAGCACTCAAACAGGAGAGTCACAGCACGTGGCAAGACTAAGCCAGGAAGAGAACACTGAATATGAAGAATGTTAAAGTTAATCCCCAAAATAAACTGTATTCACCATTTATCCCACAAATGCACGTCAGTTAAAGTTATCCAGTATAACCAAGCCCAAGCTTTCAGATTGCACCCTTGTAGCTACTCAAGCACCTCCATGCACCTCTTCTGGAGCGTGTTCCTCTACTACTGCTAAAATCTCAAACTGGTAATAAAAACAATAGATTTTTCCACCGCAAATAGTTGCATGCTTTCTCCTAAGCATCTTTACAGATTTCTGTGTGTGCATAGTCTTATTAGTGCAGCTACTTCTGTCATAACTAATTAATGTATTCACAAAAGATTTTTTTTTTCCTGTGGCAATGGGTTTGTTAAGATAATGATAAGAAAAAGTATGACGAAAGAACAAAGTAAAAAATCCCAAGTTTGTGCGGGCCAAGTCTTTAAATAGGATAAATCTGGTCAGCTGACTAGAGAATTATTAATTTTTAATTAGTTTGAAGTAAATATTGCAACTTGTGACAAGCTGCAAAATCACACCATCTTCAGGAGGAAACAGCTTGACAACAGAGACAAATTAATTCCTATAAGAGTACTCCTTCTGTGAGCTTACCATCAATATTTCTCATTTAAAAAGTAGTGTGCTGAGTATGCTCTTCCATTAGGCTGGTTTTATGTCACAGTTTGACTTTTCCTCCCTATTGCTTAAACTAGAAATGTAAAAATTTGGGGACTTTAATCACCCCATAAATATACCTGTTGTGTAATTATGCAAATCAAATTAGGAGCAGTCAATGGAATGTTTATTTATCAAAAAACCTGACCCAGATTGCCTGCTGACTTTCTTGGGATGTGAAAGCATTTCTACCTCTGTTTGAAAAGAATTTTTCACCTTAATGTAGACAGAGATTTCGCTGCACCAGGTTCTACAACCTTTTCCAAATAGCAGTGTTCTAATAAAGTGAAGAAATCCAGCTGGGAAGGGAAATTACAACCTAGTTATAGGGATACATTTGAGAAGACACTAAATTATCCCCATTTTGAAAGAGAGCGATGGTCCATTAAGCATAGGTGGGGGAGCAGGGAGCCATCATGTTTGGCATTCAAGCTAGTATTTGGGAAGGAAACAATGCGTTAGGTTTTGATTTGATTTTTTTTCTGTCTTATGAAATTGCACTGGTAATATTTGCAGAACAAGACATTAAACTCACTATATGTGTTGCTCTATCTTTGTCCTCTGTGTTTCACAGACAAAAAAAAAAAGGGTTTTTACATCCATTTCTACCACAATTATAGATATGGCTATTAAAATGTTTCTCTCTACAAAATCAATGGAAAAAGAAAGCAGAGCTGTGCTTGTAGTCATGAGCTTAGCCTTGCCATTCAGGGATATGACTTCAACAGAGAGCATTGCATCCATTATGCAACAAATTCATTGAAATCTTAAAGAAAGAAATGGCACCAGAGGGCACAGTCACTGCAACACCATTATCTCCTGCCCTTACAGTTCCTCCTTGCCTCACTCCATTGGTTCCTCCCCATTTTCAGTCATGTACATAAGAAACAAAAAAAAAAGCTGAGGAGTTTTTCTTAAAAGCTTTCCCCTTAACCTAAAACGTGTTGTTCATCAAAGTGTTTATATATATATAATATATACGTCATAATATATATAATATATATTATATATATGTATAACAAAACACAGAAAGTTAAACAAAAAGAGCCACACAGCAGAGCAGACATGTAAAAACTCAATCCAATAATCCTGTGCTTAAACTTAGAAACAGTGTGGAAGTTTAAATCCTTGTTAGAAGGAAAAAATTCTCTTTTTTTTTCTGTTTATTTTTTGTTGGATTTTAGTTATAATTCACCTTTAAAACATTTGTTACTGCTATGCTAATACCAGCTGTTAAGTTCTCCAAGTGAATTGTCATCTTGACTATAAAATAGGGTTCTGGGGAAAGGAGAGATCTGATATGGTGAATTTTTCTAGCAAGAAACAGATAATTTTTTTGCTCTTAAAAAAACCCAAACCTGTAAGGGAATAAGTGTTGAAATATATGGAGAAAAAGAAAAGTATGGCCCTCAGTCCCAGTAACAGGTCTTCTTTGGCACTTGAGAACAACCACAAGTAATTTGCCTTTTTATTCATATAGAACAAAATTTACAAAGTCATTCATACATTTTTGTTTGTTTTTTGTTTTGTTTTTTACTTACTTCGAAAATTGGGAATATTCAAAATACACTTTTACCCCACTTCATTCTTTCATTATTTACAAGTATATACAAGAAAAACGTAAGAGTTTGTTTGCTTTTTTTTTTTTTTTTTTTCCTTTTAAATTTTTGTATTAAAAAGCTCTGCTGGTTGTTTTACTGTTTGTTTTCGTCATATGGATGTTCCGTGCGAGGGCTCCATCGCTTCTGGAATGACTCCCCCCGGCACGGACTGGAATGACATTGGGATGGGGGTTTTCACGGGGCTCTGACGAAATAGTCCTCCGTTTGGTGACCTGTGTTTGCACTGTATGGAGGGCATGGTGGCTGAGCTGCTCAGGGGCAGCGGCAGGTTGCTGCCGGAGGCAGCTGTGAGTGTCCTGCTGGCACCATGAGTTGTCTGTTCTGGTAAAAAGGTGGTGACAGAAAGTTGCGTGTTCTGGTACTCGCGCACGGGCTCCAGGGTCTGGGCTGGCTGCATGCCACCGATCTCCAGGGCTGAGATTTCAATGGACGCTGGAGAGATTTGCTTGTGGGCTATGTCTTCGTCAATTAAACTGTTCATGCGCCTGTGGACCTGCTCCAGATTCACTTCTTTGTCCTAGTGAGGAAGAAACCAGAACAATCAGTCCAAACACAATCTCCAACCCCGTCTGGCCCCCCCGTCATTTCTTGTGTGTGACCGGAGTTGCTGATCAGTCGTTACATCACTTTGATTTCATCTGTGCCTATGCAAAACCTCAAGGTCTGCCCAACAGCTCCAGCTGCAAAACACGTTGAATTAAAAGCACCAGCTCAATCTTAGCCTGCAGAAGGCCCTGTGTTGCCAAACCCATCCTCCTTGGAGCTAAACAGATGGCTGTGGTTCAGCTAACAGGATCTGGCACCAGGGACCAGCACATCCTTTGCTCACCTTGCACAAGCCCGGAAAAAAAGCATATGTCAGACAAACAAGCAAAATTGGGACTTCAAATTCCAGTGGGCAGCTCACCATCTTGTAACTACATGACAGCTCACCACTGTCTCATCTCTATGCAGTGCATTTTCTAAAGAGCACATCAGTAAAATATGTCAGGAAAAAATCCCCCTGACTTCAGGGTAGTTGCTTTGTATGTCAAAATCTACTGGCCAGGGGTTGTGGTGGCGAAGAATTTTCCCCTTCCCATCAGGAAGACCTGAGTCACCCATGTGGCAGCATAGACCTACTGGAGCAGCACTGAGAGAGACCTACTCTGTGAACCCCTGGGAGGGGACCACATACTTGTTTTTTGAACAGTTGCATGACCAGCAGTAAGCTGTCTGTCACCTTGACACATCATCTGGAAGAAGTCTGTCTGTGGTCAGAGCTTGGGAAAACAATGCTGGTCTTTACATCATCTTCTGAAAACATGTTGCCTAAGGCTTCCAAACTGGTCTCTTCAACAGACTTTCAGGACCACTCACTCAACACATGAGTGTTTAGCTTCCATGAGGAAATACAGAAGAAAAAGTTGTCTTTTAAGCCTGAAGCAGCAAAGACCTGCAATGGGCTGTTTATCACTTCAGCACAGCATTCAGGATGCTCAAATTGGAAAGCAACAAAACTGGCAGGGTAAAGTCAACCACCTGGGATGCTGTATGACTGAATTTTAACAGCTAGCATTGAATTGCCAGTAAAAAGGTATTGTATTATATAATTTCTCTACATTTCACAAAGCACAGCTATGATCTGCAGTTGTAGTTATTTGATGCAAGTGTAACATACAGCAGAATAGCAGCAAGGCATCTATAAACACCCAACAACCCTGGTACTGGAGAAATTCCCTGCTCTGACAGAAACCTGTAATTACATTAGGCAGCCAGCAAGACCCCAACCTAGGAAGTAGGACTACCTGAAAATTCTGTGTTCCAGTAATCCCTGACTGCCCAAGGTCTATGTGTACTCAGATGTTTGTTAAACCCAACAACAGCAATCTTACTGATTCACACCAAAATCTCGACTCTGGGAACAGAGAAGTGTCACTGCCACTAGCTCCTCATAATCTTTTGCCACTGATGTTCAGGTGGAGAAGAGAGAATTAAAATATTATTCCAGTGGCATCTGCTATGCAATTTTGCTTCCACCTGTGAATTGAAAAGTCAACTCCAAAGTCCTTGATTCCAGTCAATGTCAACTACAGATTCGCTTCTAACCCTGTGATTTAACACCACTTCTATGTTACTCAAGAACTGCTGAATTGCTGATCCCTGCATGGATTTGGAAATGAATTAGTGTTACATGATGTTGAGTCCAAACCTGTGTCCTTAGCTAAATCCATATTGATTTCAATTGGAGTGCTATTGCCCCACAATTACAGGGCTGAGCTGCGTGTTGCAACTTCTTTGCTAATCAGTAAAAAATGAATTCCTATTTAATTTACATCACGAATACACCAAAATCCCAATGAAGCTCCCAGAAACCCAGGGGATATAATCATCCTCACCAAAGATACAACCTGTTTTTTTAAAAAATGCTAGTTTTTCAGTCAAATCCTCTAATCAGATAATTTTGAGTTGAAGAAAATCAATGGATAATAAATAAAATAATAAACTTTTTTGACATAAAGTGATCACACGACACTTGATCAGATAATCCCTGCAGCTGCATCAAGTCCTTCTTGCCAACAACCATACCTGACCTATCAAGCTCTTCATTCAATACATTAGACAATTAAGCTGGCCATAAGTCAGAGGCTCTTTCATGAACTCTGTAGCTAGGTAAATTAAGGATTTATGGTACAGCAGCCAGAGGATTACATGGATTTATTCATAATTTCCTTTGTTTCTCTTTCTTGAACTAAAATTGTGGACTGGGGACAAGTATGACAGAAGTTTTTATATTCCCTGATGAGAGGAAGGGCTCGACCTCCATGGGTAAGTTCCTTTTACAGTGATGTCCAGCCATTTATAGCTGCATTTTCCTCACCTGTCTGCCAACAAAAGCTTGCTGCAAAGCTCTGCTTGTCCACAAACCCAGCACGTGTGATGATACCTTTGTCTCAGGAAGCTAAATCCCAGAAGCCCATTATATAATGCTTTTTTAGGTACCTTATGCTATTTATTTTCTAAATTGTGTTGCTAGCTTTGACTGAGACTCCTAGTTTGGATTCTAGTTATCTGGGACCCATATTCTTGTCAAGCCCCTACTACAAAACAAAACAAAACAAAAGAACTCAGGTTAGAACTGAGCAAATATTAGAACAAATTTTCCTAAATGAGACTTCGGAGAAATGTCTCATTTACATTTTTCTGAGCTTTTGCCAAATACTAATGCATTCTTCAAATCATTTCAAGGGAAAAATATACATCACCATTTTATTTACATTTGAATTTTTCAACTGCAAGTACATCCTTAGTGCCTTCCATCCTGCTTTACTATGGGAACAAATATATATATATTTAGCTTAGCCCTTTCAATCTGCAGGCACAAAGAGCCACAGATGGGATGCTCTTAACAGACATCTCCTGGTCCAGACCACAGGGATTGTTAAGGACCACATTATATGGAATGTTCCCCTCCCTTGGCCTATCAGGCCTTTTCTTCTACTATGCACAATCCAGTGTTCCTCAGAAAATGGTGGATTTGCAGTTGGTGATGTTTCACAACAGAAACTTATGCTAAATGTGCTAAAGTTTTAATTCTCAAGAAAAGTAAAAACCAATTCCTGCATACAGACATCCCATTCTATCTACAGCAGAACACTTTATGTAGTAAGTAGAGAAGTAAATGCTTGGGATCTTTTTAAGAGGTAGGGGTGAGGATTTCATTTACCTACTCCTCTTCAGCATTAAGGACAACTTTCTGGCCTTATTGAGATCAGAGAACACTTTTTAAACTCTTTCAACAGCTCAGGAATTCACATTATTCCTTCTTTTCACTGTCAAAATAAAATGTTTGTAAAGGTTATGGAAAACAACTTGTCTCTGAGGAATAATGAAACCACATTTTTAAAGGTTTTTCTCTTTTTCTTTGTCTTATTAGATGAAGAGCAACTAAGTAACTAAATGTCAAGCTTTGTATGACACTATCTTAATGTTGAATGAATGACTTTTCAAATACTTTAAAAAAACCCTAAGATAAAAATCAGAAACCCTTGAAAAGATTAGTTTGTCACTGCATACTATAAAACTGTTTTGAATCCCAAGATTTACAGAACTGAATGTTTTGGGATAGCTTTATGTGACAAGTCAACTTTCAGAATTTGTAAATTCTGTAGATCTAATCTTTATTTTCCCTTTATTGTTCTTCTGGAAAATTCAGTAACAAAGTGTATGGTATTGAAAATTAACAAGCTAAATGGGAAAAGGATTAAACGGCAATAAAGCCAGAAAAAGAATTCCTAAAATTCATGACATTTTGCTCCTTTTTCAGCTCAGTGTTTAGTTCTCTAATTCTCATTAAATATGAGTTGTTTGTTATAATTTTTAAGAACTTGGGTTGCATTTTCTTTTTCATTTCCTCAGGCTGTGTCACCTTAATTGTCCGATGGTAATGTAGCATTGAAGATGATTTTCAAGGTTTCTGATGCTCTAACTGTTCTCTATTTTTGCATCCCTCTATGATAAAATTAATGAATTAAAATTAATAAAATACTACCAATTAATACATTGAGGCTTGGAGCTAGGGAATGGCAGAGGTACTAGACCTGGCAGCTGGATGAAAAACAGGCTCTGGTGAGCTGGTTCTGTATCACAGAGCCCTCCCTTACCCAAAGAGGGCCCCTTGGGGGAAGCCCTACTGCTACTCCTCACAAATCTTTCTGCCTTCAGCTCCACTGAGCCTGAGTGAGGGCTCTCCAAGAGCTGAATGAATGAGCTCCAAACTTAATTCCTCAGTGTCTGTGACAGACATGTCACCAAAGGTTGCTCCTCTTTCTTTTTTGCACTCACTATACAAAATTTAGTTAATATTATAAATATGTCACATCTCAGATGTTTCGTGCCAATTCATTTTTCATCTTATGGCCACACTGGATAAATGTATATGTTTGTGTTGCCATAAGAAGATAAAATATTTCTCCTTTGCTAGCTTCATAATTCTATTTTCAATATTAATGTTGTACTCCAAATAGATCAGTTGAAGAAATTAATCAGTGAAGGGAAGAAACGTGTAAGGAAAATGAATTATACATACAGGCTTATCCTCTGCAGGCTTAAGGAAAACTGCTAACCAAACATTGCTCCTGGTCAGGAAATTATCTTATTCATAAATACCAATTGAAATGTCATTCTTTCCCAATGAGCTTGAGTTCTGGAAGGGTGATTGAAGGGCATGTTTCTGATATGTCCCAAGCACTCAATGGTGAGTGACAGGTTCAGTGGCCTGTGACTGACAGCAAGAGCACACCCTGGCTCCTGCTGGAGTGGATTTGAAGGATGCACACCAGAATTACCTGGGAATGATTAAACCTGCATGACCACACCTGCAACTAACTATCATTCTTTCAGGACTAAGTAAGTTCGGCCTTATCACGCAGAGAGAAATTATGGCAAGATATAAATGCAGACGGGATGATTTACGGAGTAATCAATATTTTTTTTTCTAGCTTATTTTTTGGGATTTTTGGCAGTGGGTTCTAATCT